AATTCTGGGGCCACCAATGCTGACCAATGCTGCGGCTACCCCCGCCCCCCGCCGCTGCCGCCGCTCCCAACATCTGTGAGAGCACACCTACCGCTCATTAGTGCACCATCCCCTCTGCCACGGAGACTTGGGCGCAATCCTCCCTCGCAGCCACGGCCAGGTTTTTGCTAATTGATAGACACTATAGTGTGACCCCTTTTCAAGTAACGCGGTTTCTGTCATCATTGCACGCTTCAGAGAGAGAGAGAGAGAGAGAGAGAGAGCGCGAGAGAGAGAGAGAGAGAGAGAGAGAGAGAGAGAGAGAGAAAGAGAAAGAACGCGAGAAATAGAGAGAGGGAAATAGAGAGAACCCCCCGAGTCGCCGATCGATCGGTCCAAATCGCCCAAGATAGCCGTCAGACAGCGGAGAGGCCCGGCTGTTGTTTGCGTTGCCTCCGTTTCCGCTTCCAGATGCCTGGCCCCGCGGCTGCCGCAGGGCCGTGCCCAGCCAGCCCAGCCCCCACGAAACTGCAGTTGTTCCCAGGGCGCGGGAGGTGCACGGGCAATCCGCAGCTCGCTGGAACCCGCCCTGCACCCCCAGGCCCCGAAGGCCGTGGTCGCTCGCCGTCGTCGTCGTGGTCGTTCGCCGTCGTCGTCGTGGTCGTTGTGGTCCTCGTCGCGGCTGTCACCGGCGCCCGCGTTGTCGCCATCGGCGCCCAGACCCGCTCAGCATCAGCAGCCGAAGCGCGCCCTCCGAGGTGGTTCTGCCCTGCCCTGGCCCAGCCGCCGCGGCGCAGAGCCGCCGGAAGAGCTCCCCAAAAGCCCGCATCGACTTCGCGTGGTTCGTTTTTCTCCGCGCTCGAGGCATCGTTTTCGGCGGCGCGGATCGGCTTGAATCGCTGTTTGAATTGTGCCGCCTGGCCTGTGTGCGGTGTAGTGCCATCCCCTCTGGCGCTCCCCGTGCCCTCCCGCGCGGCCGTGTGCGCAGGGTTCTCCGCGGTCCTGCAGCAGTGCTCGCCCCGCTCTGCTGTCAGCTGCTGCGCCTTGGAGCGGCCCCAAAGGCACCACCAAGAATTGAACCCAAGTAGGTCAGATTGTGGACGAATGTCAGCCCCGTTTCACTACAATGTCATATTTTCCCAATGGAAAGGGGGGGCACGTTCTGCTTGTCCCATTCTATGCAGGCGGGGGGGGGGGGGACGGAGAGAGGTGCCTGCAGCTGCTGTGCCTGTGCTTGCTGTGGGCCTTGAGGTCCAGCGCGCCACACCGCGCAGCGCAGCCCCTGACACTGCCTCGGTAGGGCTTCAGTGAAACTGTTGAGGATCCCAGAATGGAGCCAGAAAACACCCTTGAGACTCCCAAAATGTAGTAGTGACATTGCAGCTGCAACGGAAATAAATCCCTGTAGAAAGCATCCTGTGCAAGTAAGGCGGTTTAGTTTCGATGGGGGCTTTGCCACACGCCAGGAACGTGGAATTTAGGCACATGAGCGCCGTGCAGGGGACGCCCTGCGCAGAGCCAAGACATCCCCATTTGCGACCCTCTGTTGTGCCTCCGAAGCCCTGAGGCCCCCACAGGCACGGCCGCCGCGGCTGCCGCTGCCACTGCCACTACTGCGAATGCCGCCGCCGCCGCCGCCACCCCTGCCGCTGCCTCTGGCATTGCCAGCCACGCCCACCGCCGCCGCCGCTGCTGCCACTGCTGCACCAGCAGCCAGCCCACCCCACTGCTACCCCGCCTGCGCGGCCGCGCCCGCCTCCGCCTCTGCCACCGCACACGCCTGCCCCGCGGCGCGCCACAGCCACTACCACCGCCGCGGCCAGCGCCCTTCGCCCCAAGTACCATTTCCACCCCACCACTATCGCCGCCGCCGCCGTTGCTTCACCGCTGCCGCGGCGACGCCCCCCACTATCCGCCCCATACGCCGCCGCCACCAACACCACAGCCGCCCCCGGTGCCACTGGCTGCCCTGCCGCTACGGGCCCGGCCGCTGCCGCTGCCACTAGTTCGAGGCACCCAGCGCCCCAGCGCTCGCAGCGCCAACGCCGCAGCCCCCAGAACCTCTTCAACCCCAACCAGCGGCCGCAGCGCCAGCGCCACAACCCCCCAGAGACATCCGACCCCGCGGCCTATGGTCAAGGCCTGGGGCCAGTCCTCGCGGGGCGCGCAGGGAAACGGGGGGTCTCTCTCTCTCTCTCTCTCTCTCTCTCTCTCTCTCTCTCTCTCTCTCTCTTGTTCTTCTCTTGACAACGACTACGACCACGGCTAATACTAGTTCCACTACTACTACTACTACTACTACTACAACTACTACTACTACCACTGCTGCTACTACTACTACTACTACTACTACTGCTACTACCACTACTACTGCTACTACTACTACTACCACCGCTGCTACTACTACTATTACTACTACTACTACCACTACTACTGCCACCACTACTACTGCGACTTCTACTGCGACCACCACTATTACCACCAATACTACTACTACTACTAGCACTAGCACCACTACCACTACTACTGCTACTGCAACTATCGCTGCTACTACTACTAGTACTACTACTACTCCTACTACCACTACGACTACGACTACTACTACGACTACGACTGCGACTCCTACTTCTACTACTACTCCTCCTCCTACTACTACCACTACTACTACACTACTACTACTACTACCACTACAGCTACTACTACTACTACTACCACTGCTACTGCTACTACTACTGCTACCACTGCTACTGCTACTACTACTACTACCACTACCACTGCGACTACGACTACGACTAAGACTGCGCGGCCCCATCGGCGGCCGCGATCCCCGCCGCCGCCGCTGCCGCCAGCACCACCACCGCCAACGCCGCCGCCCATGCGGCGCCCCTACCAACAACGCGGCGACAAAAACCGCCGCCCCCACCAATGCTGCCACCACCGCAGCCGCCACTGCTGCGGCCACACGCGCCACAAACACCACCACCACCACCGCCACCAGGCTGTGGCGAGTACAATGGTACGCCCCCCGTGTGCAATGGTGCGCTCCCCCCACCAACCCCGAGAAATGAATATTGCTCCTCAATCTCGGACGTGGCTGTCCGCAGGTTCTCCAGGGCTCAGCACGCCATCCCCAGAATGAGGTCAGGAAACCCCCCTGAGACTCCCAAAATGTAGTGATATTGCAACTGCAACGGAAATCACTGTAGAAAGAATCCTGTGCAAGTAAAGCGATTTAATTTCATTAGGGGATTTGCACACGGCGGGAGCGAGGAATTTAGGCACATGAGCGCCGTGCTGGGGCGCCCTGCGCAGAGCCAAGAAATCCCAATTTGCGATCCTCTGTTGCCTCCAAAGCCTTGAGGCCCCCACAAGCACGGCCGCCGCGGCTGCCGCTGCCACTGCCACTACTGCGAATGCCGCCGCCACCAGCGCCGCCACCGCCGCCACCCCTGCCGCTGCCTCTGGCATTGCCAGCCACGCCCGCCGGCGCCGCCGCTGCTGCCACTGCTGCGCCAGCAGCCAGCCCCCCCCACTGCGACCCCGCCTGCGCGACCGCGCCCGCCTCCGCCTCTGCCACCACACACGCCTGCCGCTGCCGCTGCCACTAGTTCGAGGCACCCAGCGCCCCCGCGCTCGCAGCGCCAACGCCGCAGCCCCCAGAACCTCTTCAGCCCCAACCAGCGGCCGCAGCGCCAACGCCACAACCCCCAGAGACATCCGACCCTGCGGCGTTTGGTCAAGGCCTGAGGTCAGTCCTCGCGGGGCGCGCAGGGAAACGGGGGGTCTCTCTCTCTCTCTCTCTCTCTCTCTCTCTCTCTCTCTCTCTCTTGTTCTTCTCTTGAAGAAAGCCACAAAAAGTGTAGGTCACCCCGGCCTTGTAAGACCACGCCCGCCGTATTATTCACTACTCACTACTCTGTATTCACTGTTCGCTACTCAGTACTCTCTACTCAGCATTCACTACTCACTAGTAGTTACTAGCCACTCCTCACTACCCACTATTCATTATTCACTTTTCATTACTCACTCTTCGCTACTCTCTATTCTTTACTCATTACCCACTATTCACTATTCCCTACTTCATGCTCCCTACGCACCTTCTCCGGCGCAGAAAGGAACAGCGGGAGAGGTCCCCTCCCTGGCTTTCTGTCCGGCGCGAAGGTGGGGAGGGGGGGGGAGGTCAAAGATCTCACCCCCTTTGTGCGGGGGAGGGGGGGGGTTTTGCGAGCACACCCCCATTTTCAAGTACAAGGTGATCCAGTTGCGCGCTTTCAAAAATAACCCACATGGCTGAGCTCAGCGACTTGTCATCTTCATCCGCTGCGCCAAAGTGTTCTTGAACCCTAGGCTTGCCGATATTTGCGGAGGTTTGAGAAGACTCTCTGCCGACAAGTTCTGCTCCATGCTTCGCTCCATCAACATGCACGTGCTGGGGCACGGCTGCCTTTGCATCGTTTTGGAACTTGTCGCCAGCATGTCTGCCGCGGACGAGGATCTTGCACCCGGTGGTCTCCTGGATGCGCATCTGGGTCTCCCCCCGCGGCCCCGCGATCACAGCATGAAGTGTGTGGTTGTGAACCTCTCGATTTCCGCTGCCGGGGCCTTCTCTCGCGGAGGCTCGTGTTCTTCCTGCGCCGCGTTGTTGTCGCGGAGGCTCGTGTTCCTCCTGCAACCCTAGGGGCTGTAGAAAGTCCGCACGTGGTCGCGAGGCACTCGCCCAGCCTGTGAGCGTGGGAGAAAAAAGATGATTATGCAACTTGATGTTGTTGTCCTGCTGGTCCTGTTTCGGCTGCTCCTTCGGCTCCGTCTTGAGCGCTTCATCCTTCTTGGGCCGCGCCTCCCGGGAGACGCCGCTTGGCGCACTTCGATATCCTCCACGAGCCCCGCACATTGGACAGCTTGCTCACGCGATTCGCCAGCGCCTTTTCGGGCAGCGCTCTGGCGTCGCTGACCGTTGGTTTCCCGCTCAACTTCTCAGCAAAAGTGGTGAGCGCCTTTCCTGAAAGCTCGGTCGTTGGCTCGGCGCACTCCTGCCCAATGGCCTGGGCCCCAAAAAAAGATTTCTCGCCCAAAAAAAGATTGCGTGTGGGAGGATCGGGAGGAGGAGGGGAAGGGAAAGAGAGAGGAAGGCGAGGATGGACGAAAAAGAATGGTAATAAGGTAGTAGTAGGAGGAGGAGGAGGAGGAGGAGGAGGAGGAGGAGGAGGAAGGAGAGTGCTCGTCAGGGGTAAGTTTTGCTGCCGCCCCGTATCCTGGCCAAGCCAGGAACCCCCGAAGGCGTCCAGGAACCGCTCCCAGCGCTCCTCAAGGGTCGGGGGCGAATCGTGGCAGTCGGTGGATCTCGTTGCACGCCTCTGGAAAGAAGCGGCGGCCCCGCAGCGACGTGTCGGCCGGGGACCTCATCTGGGGCAGCTGCAGCCCCGAGCAGCAGCGGCCGGACAAGGACCGCGGCGCACGAGACGAGGCCAGGTCACACTCGGGGGATCGAGGACAAATCGCGCTTCGCGCGCCGCGGCCTGGGCTGGAGGGCTGCCTCTCTCCAGGGTGGCCTCGCGAGGGAGCGAGGATCGGCGCGCATCGCGGGGCGTGGGCGCGCGACGTTGGGCGACCTGAATGGCGGCATCGTTTCGTTTTCGCTCTCGTTTTGCACAGTCTCATTTTAAACGTTTCGTTGTCAACGTTCGGATTCGCTTTCGTTTTCGATCTAAACGCCAACGCGTTTCAAACATCGTTGTGCTCGGTTCTTGAAGGAGTATCCTCCCCTGGGGAAGGTGGGACAGAGTTTCGGGTGGGGCGTGGCTTTTCCCGAGGGCCAGCCTGGACCTCGGGGGCCCAGCAGAAATCGCCGGCACGCCAGGAAGCCCGGGCACGATGCACCAGGGCTCCGTGGATCGGAGTACAGCCAGATTTCGGGCCGCATGCCGACCAGGACCAGTACGGTCGAGAATTTGTCGATAAAGTGTCGCGCCGCCAGGTCTGGCCCACCACGTTTCGGCGCGACACCTTACGTATCCACTTCCCGGCCCCCGGGCGTTCACGTCCCGAACGTTTCCGAGCCTTCCGCCCCGCGGAGCGGAGCAACAAGCTATCCGCTCGCACGGCATACCGCGTCGCCAGGGCCGCCGCCGCGACACGCTGAGCAAAAGCTCCCGACCGTGGATGGCGCACCCTGAAGCGAGGGTCTGGCTGCCCAGGGGGGGAGTCCGCAGGATGTGCAGGGCTTGCGACCGGTGCCATCAGTTCTGGCCCACAAGCCGCGGTCCCGCACCCGCGTCGGCACGCGACGGCGAGAGGTGGATCGCGCCAGCCAGCCAGCGCCGTGGACGCCTCGTGAGCCTCGCCTCGCCAGCCGTACGTGTCCATCCTCTTGCAGATCTGGGAGGTGTGACGGCAATCAGAGATCGGCCGACCACATGTTGCGTCCACGAGGGTTTTGCCCCTGTGTCGCTGTGCTAAATCCGTACGAAGTAAGTCAATGCAAAATGTTCGGTCTCCGTCTGGGCTTAGGCCGTCTGGACTTAGCCTTTCCTGATAGGGTGCTAAGTCCGCACGGAGTGGTTCAGTTCGCGCGGAGTGGTCGGCCTCCGTCTGGGCTTATTCCGTCTGGATTTAGCCTTTCCTGAGTCTCGCGCGATCCACTCAAATATCAAGGCGCGCGGTGGAGGGGCGTCTTCCAGGCCAGGCGCGCGAATTAGAATTATGTTTCGACCTGCCCATTTTGTCAGGAGGTGTTCAGTTCTGGAACCCCGTTCGAGCTTGCTGGACGAAACCGATTTTCGAGTCTCAATGTCAGAGTGTAAAGCCCAAGCGCGCGCCGACCTGAAAGTCACGCCACACACACACACACACACACCCTTATCCAAAAAGCAGATTCCGTTACAGTGGGCTTCGTGATTTTTTAGCGGATCCAAAGCCGGACGATTTGCGTACACTACGCGAAGATACGTGAAGCATTCGTTGCGAACACGAAGGTGAGCAGGTGACATAGACTTTCTTTGTAAACAGGGTCTGTCTAAATCGTTACAGAATGTACGACAGCGAGTAGATTGCACAAACATTCGTTGACTAGGCTGACAGCAGGTGCCCCCCCCCCAAAACGCTCAGAGTGTAAGTACAAGCGTAGGCATGGTTGGAACCGCGTGCTTCCAGGTGTTGCTCGACGGCATATGCATTACGATAGTGTAAGAAAGCCCGTGTAGCAACAACATATGTTGTATGTGCCTGGACTCCATCTTTCGAGGGGGGCTGGACTCCCTCAGACCCGCATACTCTAGCTGCGTTCGTTTGTCGTTTTCCATGAGGATGGGCTCGACGAGCAAGATCGTGTCGCGTCGGGGTGTTGGCATTGCTCCAGATGTGGGCACTCACCCCATCCCGTCCATCTGGGCTCATCCACACAGTGGTGCATCTTCTGGCCCGTGCTGCGGTTCGCCTTGGCGCAAAGAACGTACCGTGCCCTCTCGCGTGCACATGGTGCCCAGCAGCAATCGCCGAGGCCGCACGCGTTGCGAAATATCAAAGGCCTCTTCGGTGCCCACCTGGCGGGCCACGTCTCCCCCCGTCCTGTGCCGTCCCGCGCCGAGTGCGGCTTGCCGCCCCCGGCCGCAGGACCTGGGCCGGTGCATACGCGAGGGCCGGAGGAACGTCACGGCCGAAGCTCGCGCGCGCGCGCCTCAGATTGTGCGCGCTCCCGGCTCGGGGAGAAGTGCACCCTGGCAGCAGAAGGTTCTGCATAGCATATCCAAAGAGCAAAGAGAACATGAGGCTGCATTGCGCGTGCGGGAGACCACACGAGGGACCATACGGGAGACCGTGCGGGAGGCTCTACGGGAGGCCACACGGGAGACCTTATGGGAGACCATGCGGAAGACCAGACGGGTGACCACAGGCCACCAGCCCACCAATTCCGAATCCGGAGGAGCTCACCCATGGTTGTGCAAGCACGCATGGCTTCTCGCCGTCGCTGGAAGTCGTTCCAAAATTCGATTTGGAATCTCCAGCAGCAGTTCTGGTGGCTCCCGCAATCTGCAGTAGCAGGCTCCCCCGACAAAAAATGATGGAGAAATCTTCCCTAAAATGGCCCCAGCCTAGAAATCCCGGCGAAATCTGCTCCGAAATCTCCAGAAGAGTTTTACGTCGTGGACTTCCCGGACAAATTGTGGTGGGCAAGCTTGCCAGGAAGACTTCCCACAGGATGTCAAGGAAAAAATATTTCCCATAACATGCGCTGTCGGTTTCTGTCGTATTGTTTTTGTTGGAGAATTCCAGCTGAAGTCCAGGTTTCCTGAAGTTTTCTTGCCAGCAAGATTTGTTAGAAGGTTTTTTAGGGCATTTCCAGGAGGCAAGATTTCGCTGCCCGTTCTAAATTCAGATATCGTTCGGGATTTAAGGTGTCGCAGTCGTCAGGTCTGCGGTTCCTGCGATCTGATGTCATCGAATGGCCTTCAGCACATCCCGCCAACGTGTTTGGGTTGCGGGTATGAAGCTGATTGGATGTTTGTCAGGGTCTCATGGGAGGCCTCTTGGGGGCCTCTTGGAGGCAGTTTGGAGGCCTCTTAAGGGCCGTTTGGGGGCCTCTTTCAGGCTCCTCTTGGGGCCTCCTGGGGGCCTCTTTGGGCGGAAGACTTGGATTTTGACTTCGTGCTCCCTCTCTTGGGCTCCTTCTGGGGCCGTCTTGGGGCCTTCTTGGGCGCCTCTTGGGCCGTCTTGGGGCAGTCTTAGGCTGCCTTGTGGCCCCCTTGGAGGCCTCTTGGACCGTTCTGGGGGGGTCTTGGGGGCCTCTTGGCCCGTCCTGGAGCGCCGGAAAGCCGAAAGGGCGAGAACACAAAGATCCTTCAAAAACTTCGGGAAATCAGTGATGTCTGCCTCTCTGGGCCCTCTTAGGAGGCATCTTGGCGGCCTCTTGGGACGTCGTGGAGGCCTCTTGGGCCATCTTGGGCGTCTTGGAAGGATATTTCGGCGACCCGGGGCCTTCTTGGACTGTTTGGAGGGCCTCCTGGGGGGCCCTCGTGGCCTGTTTTCGGGGCTTCCTGGACCCGAAAAAATCACGCGAGGACCTTTCCCGGAGCCCAGGGGGCACGCGACAAGCCCCAGGATATTTCGGGAGTGGGGGGTCCCCATTGCAGACTCGTCAGGACTGAGGACGGAGGCTCCAGGGAGTGGGTAAAGAAAATCGGGGCACACCCACTACGTGCCCAGGGGCACGGTGGCGGAGAGGGGATTCCGCAGACAAGCTGCAAAAAGATGCCGATTGAAGGCAGCGTCCGACGTTTCAGCAGGGGTCTGGGGAGCCCGAGGCTCAGCTTGAGCCCGAGAGCTCCTTCGAGGGATGAGGCACGTTTGGGAAAGCACGGCATGTGGCTTGAGAGCTCTGGGGGGCTGACACCACGCCGATTTGCGGCCAGAAAGGTTGCACCATCCGATGTGCCCAGGTGTGTTTCACTTGGGCGCTCGAAGGGGGTTGTCGAAACGGATGTCCACCCTGACAGTGCCCCAAGGATCGGAGTTTGCCCATCTGTTTCACATCAGCGGAAGGTTTCGATGTACGCATGTGACCGTTGGATCAAGAGGCAGTCGCACACACGTCGAGCAGACAGTTGTTGAAACGTTTCGCTCATTCCGCCCGCCCACATCTCATCACAGTTTGTGCGTGGTGGTGTGCTCGTGGCCAGCGGGGGTTGTCTGGAAGGGAGGAGCGTTCAAAGGTAGTTTTGTGGAGATGTGGTTGCGCCTGGTCTGTTGGAGCATTCCAGGAGTTCCTGGTGAGGCTCTTGGACCGTCTGAGGGAGCTCTCGGGGTGCCTGGTGTTTCTTGTGGGGCGTGGTTGGGGGTGTAGGGTGGAGGCGCCTGAATGTATCTCAGGGCGTCTTGGGGCCAGCTCGGGAGGGGTTCGGTGGTTTCACGAGGCGTCTCGGAGCCCCCTTGGCGGCATTGTCTAGAGCTCTTGCGGCCTCTTTGGCCAGTCTTCTTGGGTTTCTGGACACCTCTTGCGGACCTGCTGGCGGTCTCGGGGGCCATGCTTCGGGGAAGGCTCGGCCTGTCAGCTCCGATTCCCCCCCATAGGGCCTTCCTGGGGCCTCTGGAACCCTCTTGGGAGGCATCTTGGGCCGTCTTGGAGCCCTCTGGGGCCGTCCTGTGGCCGTCCAGGGAGCCTCTTGGGCTGACTTTGGGCGATCCACATTGGAGGCTTCTGGGGCCGTTTCTGCCGACGGACGCCCGGAAAGGCAAAGAACTTCAAAATCGTTGAAAAGCAAAGGAAACCACCCATGTTTCTTCCTTCCTGAGGCATTATCAGGTGTCCTCTTGGAGCGCTCTTGGGGACCTCGCAGGCTGCTGGACACGATATTGGGCTGTCTGGGAGCGGTCTAAGGCTATCTTACGACCTTTTGATGCAAGTTGTTCTAGGACCATCTTCGGCCGTCTTGGAGCGCAAGCGGACCGTCCCGGCATCCTGCAATCCTGCGGGTCGCTTGCGTCGGTTTGGAGCAGTCTTGCAAGCTTGGTGGGTCGTCTTGAGTCGACAGACGCCCGAAAAAGCAAGAACTTGAGAACCGTTGAAAAACCGAATGGCAATCCATGTGCTTCCCTTCGTGGACCTTCTCAGGTGTCCTCTTGGAGCGCTCTTGGGGTCCTCTTCTTGGGCTGCAGAAGCTATCCTCGGGCGTCTTGGAGTGCAACTGGGCAGTCTTGTTATCCTCTTGGGCAGCTTTCTGGAGCGCCATGCGTCTCCTGGAGCGCTCTTGGGGGCCCGACGGCCACGCCCTGGGGTTCTGGGAACCTCTCAGGGTGATGTTCGCCCGGGGACCCCCAGGCACCGTCCCGCGAACGCGAACTGCAAATCTTCTGGGCGGCGATGTACGGGAGACGAGCGGTGCGCACCCCCTCGCTGATCACGGGCTCTGTCGACGTGGGACTTCAGATGTGAAGCTCTCGGGGGGGACACCCAGAGCACAGCTCGATGTGTGTCCAATTGGACGGGCGGGAGAACTTGAGCACCTCCCTTTTTGCGCAGGCATTCTGAACAAAGTGCACCTTGCCAGTGAGACCTAAATCGAACACTCTATTTTCATGTTGTTGCTCATGTGAACGTAACGTTTGAGATGAGTGCCAAACAACATGTTTCAACAAAGAGGACACATCACGTTTACAGGCTTTCTTTGTTTCGATTTCCCACGCATCACGGGGCCGCGCGCAAAGGAGCCACAGACCACTGTGCCACGGGCCACGGCCAAACGAGACACGGAGCCACGGGCCATAAGCTGCGGGCCACGGCCCACTGGCCACGGACCACGCGTTAAGCGCAACAAGCTACAGGTCACGTGGCACGCGCCACGGGGCCGGTAGCCATGAGGCCAAGCGCTATCGGCCATTGCCCACCAGAAAACCATCAGACCATAAAAGATTGGCCACGGAGCCAAGGACCCACGAGACACGTAGCGATGCGCCGCGAGCCACAAGATACTAAGTGTTGGTGTCGCCACGGGGTCACGAACCACAGACCACGAATCACGGGCCACGGGCCATGGAGCTGCAGACCTCCGAGATTGTTGGTTGGTGCCTCTAGCCAGAAGTAGCCGTTGCAAACTTGTCTCACGAGGTCCACACGTTGCATTCCTATGTACATTATCAGTTGCTTGTGCAGTCTATGTCATTTTGGTTTTACCGTTGGTCAGCCCCTGGTGATTGCACACCATGCGAACCACTCTCATACAGATGTTCAGTGCCCGCGTTCGCTCGCCATCGGGGCTCTACAACTGTGCTCCCTGTTTGTGGTGTACTCGCCAGTTTAGTTGGCGGGTGTTCTGGCACGGTTCAAGAGTTTCAGACGTTTGTCTTCCCACGGGGCATTTCTTTCATCAGGAAAGAGGGACTTGGAGGAGGGACATTGCAACATCGTTGATGAGTCCTCGGTTTGCACTGGTCCTCCTCCTCCTCCTCCTCCTCCTCATCCTCCTTGCTCGCCACGAGCGCGCCAACATATTGCAACAGTGATGCAATATGGGCCAGCGGAATGAGCGAGGCGATTCAATAATACAGCTTAAGCTGGAAGCGCTAACCGCTCACGCGACGCAGCGGGTGTAAGGGGAAAGCTTGGGCTAACGCGCGGCGGAAAGTAGTTCCATTACAATTTCCCGACCGTTCTGTACGCACGACACATACATAGAACACGTGCCGTGCGGGGATTCACCGATGGTTTCTACACCCACACCGCCCGGTTGTTCCACGTACGTGCCATCACGCGTCATTTTGCGTTACCCCAATCGCAAAAACAATCAGAAGCGGTGTTTCGGGAAATCGCAGACCGTGTGTCTTCGGTGAGAGCACAAGCACGGATGTGGTTCGTGAGCGCTTCGATGTCACATCACAACGAGCTCGGTTGATTTCGTTGAAAGTGTTATTGCTGCTGGTTCCCACTGCTACCACATGCCTACATTACAACTGCATCCGACTGCTATCGAGCTACGACAGTCCGCACATGGATATACCCAGCGCCTTCATTACAAGTACAGTACGGTTTCTTTCGATCCACTCGTAACGACGCCGTGGCCCTCTCGCTATCATTTAATTGCTGCCTAACGGCCTTCTCGTCGATGCTGGGGTAGACTGCATCATCCCACCTCATTTGTTCCATGACTACTTTAATGCTCACGGCTACAACGCGCCTTACAAATACAGGCTACATCATTGTGAAAGAGTTGCCAGAAGAGCCCCAGCTGTTTCCGTAGGCTTTACATCCCAGGAGCTGAAAAATGGTCTTTGGGAAGGTCGGGGCCTCATTTTTATAGTTAACATGGAATTTGTCCATTGAGGCGTCTTCGGTCGATTCGGCCGTTGGACCATAGCCTGGGCCACGCCAGTCCAAGCAGGGCATATTTGCCGGCATTGCGAACTTCTCTTTTTGAACGTCAACTGCTCGGAGGAGGCCCCGCACTCCGAGGCCCCCTGCAAGCAGCACGCTGGTACCACTTGCAGGAGGACGGGCTGAGGAGAGCGTTTCTTTTTTACATTGTGGCCGTATCCTTCTCTCCGCGGCTCCCCGAACCCCAGCCGAGGTTTGGAAAGCCTTCCGCGGCGCCTCCCGAGCGGCCGCTGGCGTTCCAGCCGCTCCCCCGTGCGCGGCACGCGGCGGCCGAAGCCGGGGGCTCGGCCGGGCCCCAGCCTCGCAAGATCGAGCCTTCACGCGGCAGGGCCGGTCCAAGAAGAAAAAAACCATCAGTCAAGCAGTGGTGGAGCGTCCCGGATCGCCTATAGCCCCACCAAGGAATGTTCTAAGAACCTTTTGTGGTATGCACGAAATGTTCTTAGAACATTTCTGGCGGAGCTTGTCTTGGCTTATCACATCGGGTTTACGTTCTAAGAGCACTGTGTTTGTTCTTAGAACATTTTTGGGTTCTAAGAACATTTCGTGGTATGACTATAGGAATGCCGGGACGGTCGGTCCCTGCTCAAATCAGTCGGCGGCGAGCGGGGGGGGAAAGTGAGAAGGAGAAGCCCCTTCCAGAAGGCGGCGGGACTCCTCAGAAGCCCTCGCGCCTTCTGAGAGTCTTTTTGCGTCTTCGGGGGAGGCTTAGAAAACTTCTCAGAAGTCTGGGGGACTTCCGAGCCTTCTGAGAAGGCCCGCCCCTTCTCACTTCCCCCCCGGACGCGCCGCCTAATCAGGTGGCCGCGGATTTGAGAGAGCATCGGGCGCACTGATCATCGCCAGGTATCAGTCTGGACTTTTGCTGGTGGTCGGATGACTTCTGACGGACTCTCGGACGCCTTCTAAGGGTCCTTCAGGTTTCCGGTGATGGCACAAGATGTGTGCACCTGGAGGGGGTCCAGATCTGGAGGGATGTAATACGCCTTGATATTCGTTGCATCGGCAGCACCTCGCCGATGGCTTTGTGGGGAACCCCCTTGGTGTGGCTTATGCTTGAGAGAGGAAACCCGCTTTCCTCATATGTTTCCCCCCTACTCTTCCTACATCCCGAATCCATACTTCCGAGGCTGTGGCGAAAATCCTTGCCTCCTCTGCGGCCGCCCAACGCCCTTGCAGGACCCTCTGCAAAATCGATTGGTCGCGGAATAGACTGTGAAGATCCAGGCGTCGCTCGACCACGCGAGCAAACGGCATCAATGAGCAGGGGGGCTTTTCCTGTCGATGGGGGACGGAGAACGCAATTTGAAGATGTTCATGGCTGCCCACTAGGTGGCTTCAGGAGATCACTTCGATTTCCGTTCGCAGATCGGATGCGGGTTGGGCTTGGGTCGTCCAGTCGGTCTTCATGCCACGGACCATGCAAAGGCCACGGGTGGTGCGGCGGCGGTCATCTCGCCGAGCCGCCTCAGCAGCAAGGGTCGGTGGCCGACTATCCCATTTTTGCCTTTTGCGCGTCGTTGAGCAGTGAGCGTTGAAGAGAGCAAAGATGCTGCCAGTACAGCCGAGCAGCGCTTACTGCTGAAAGTGCTGAGCAAGTGAGAATGGGCAGCGACGAGGAGGGCATGCAACGGCGATATGTTTCCACCTCACCCGTTGGAAGGTCTCTATTGCATTCGCCAGCCTACTCCTTGTCCCCACTTCCCACTTCCCCTTCCTTCCCCAGAAGTGTGACAGGGGATGGGGGATTATCAATTGCGCTTAGGGAAACAAGTAGGAAGGAAGGCCCAAGAATAGAGCACTGCATCATCGCGGATTGGTTGCAAAACTCCCTCATCTTAGGAGTTGAATTCTTCAGCCAGGTTCCCACAAGCCCCAACGATTCGGATGCACATTGGGTAAGAATTGTGCTCCTGGAAAACTTGGAATGCTGAGAATCCGACGCTACTGCAGAAATTCGAGGACCTGAGAGGCCTGAAATTGATGAGAAGCCCATGCCATTGCCACACGGTCAGCACCTGATGCTCTTGCCACGCGTATGGGCTTTGGGAACGGAGGGAAGCTGATGCACCTTCCACGTTTTCTTCACCTCGGGAACCCTGGTATGGTGAGTATGCCACGATCATGCGGCACCCTCTCTGCCTGGAGGTTCTGGGGCACACCGTGGAGGGATAGTGGCCAGGTCTAGTGACCCCCTTGGGCGGTGAGAAGCTCTGGATCCTGCAGGCAAGGAGTGCATCCAGCGACGGAATTGCGACTGCTCACAGTGACCCCTCAGGTGGTGAGAATACCCGAGAAGGCGCGCACGCTATGCACCCCGCGACGAGACCACGACCATACCGGGTAAATTTTCGGCTGACGACAGTGGTGGGAATCTTCGAGCGGGCACGCACGGAATGCACCTTGCGATCAGATCGCGACCAGGTTCAGTGATTCGTTAGGTGGTGAGAGCAGTGTGGGGATTATGTTTGACCCGCTATCGAATGTGTATGTCAAGGCAAGTGGATATTATGCGATTGGGTTTTAAAGACTTCGCTTGCACTTCGCGGATCCCCCCCCAGCCCATCCACAACCGATTTGAACGTGATCTGCCTGTGAGATGGGAAGTGAAGCAGCACATTGATTAAAAATCAGGCACGAGTCAAACCACCGAGGTTCGCACCGGCCAGAGCAGGCCCCAGCAATGGTCAGTTTCAGGACCAGTGGGGTTTTCTTCGAGGCCTCGTCGGGCCATCTCGCATCCAGGGACCTTTTTCCCCAACTCTCTGGGTTCGTGCGCGTGCTCATTTTGCATAGAACATAGTTGTTCCCTCAGTCCTGCCACCTGCACCAATGTCTCCCCTTTCGGGATCGCATGTGGGTCCATCGGGGTGCGGTCTTACCCAGGTCCAAATGCGACTTCGGTTGGTTTGCAAATGCGCCAGCGTCGTCATTTTCGTGAGTTCGCTGGGAGTCCAGCAAAGCGCAATCTTCCCCAGATTCAGGAGCTCAACTCCCTGAGTGCTGCCAGCGGCCCCACTGTCGCCACGTGTGAGTTCGTGAGGAGCCCAGCGAAGCGCAGCGTTTCCTGTATTCAAGGGGGACCTCCTCTTCCTGGGTTCTGCCGACTGCGCAGCTGCCGCCAGCTTCATGAGTGGAGCGCGGTCTTACACAGATCCAAACGAGACTTCGCCTCACTGGGTGCTGCCAACTGCGTCATTGTCGCACTTGTTTCGCGGTCTCTTGAGGGACCCAGCGGAGTGATCACGTCCGAGGCCTACCAGGACCAGGCCATGCCCGAGGGGGTCATCGTCGGCGCCAGGTACAAGGACGCCGACATGGACGGATTCGGGCTGCACCTGCATAATGTGTGTCGTCTCGTGATCCGCGACATCGGTCTTCCGCGCCGCCCGCGGACTTGGTGGCTCGCTCTCAAGTTTTGAGCGCCCGCACAAACAAGTGCAGGGCTGAGGCCCAGACACTAGCCGACGACGTCAGCTTGGCCAGGTTCTTGCACGACGGAACGGGACAGTCTGCAACGGATTTCCCAAAGCGTTTGTACATTTGTTTGTTCGTGTTCCCAGAGCCAGCACAAGGCGGCAGCGGGCGGGCTGCTGTTGTTGCGGTTCCGCGATGGCGCGGGACAGCGTGCCCGAATATATGTCGGTGTACTTCCAGCATCCACGCGCGAGTGTGCGAACTTTTCGCGTGCCCATATCGGGTTGCGAATGGATAGGCCCAGAGGTTGGTTACCAGCCTCAACTAGGAACCTTCCTACATGGGTGGAACGACGAACAACGTTCGTCGCTACCGATGTGTTCCAACTTTGTCACATCTTCCGTCCTTTGGCCATCGTCTTTGCCCATATTAGCCATGTAAGTGTTCAGCCACCGCTGTTTCTTCATATTGGCCGTTGCTTTGCCACCTTCCCCCGTTCAGCTCGTGTTGCCCACTGTCGTTTCGTGTTGGTCTCGGTTGGCGCACGATGCATATCCTCCCCACGCATGTGTCACACGGGGCAGCGCTTTCAACATTAGATTCGTGCTGGGTGGGCCCGCTGGTACTGGCACAACCTCGGCATCAAACAGTTGATGGACAAATACGAAGCGTTTTTCGCGGGCGCGAATATTGCCCGACCGTGCGGATGCGTATTAGATTTCGCCAGGGCCACCCGCTGAGCGCGCGCCTGTACATCATAAGTGGTTTCCTTTTCACGGTTGTTGCAGATCGCTTACCAGGCATGTCAGAGGCACGGAGGATTCGCGAGCATGGTAAGTTTGGCCAGTGTGGTCGCCGCCTTTTGGTCGGTGGCACGTGGTGTGAGTCGTGAATTCTACAGCGCGCCAGGCCAGCCCATCAACGCGGAAATATGCTTCGGATCCGAACAATAGTTTGGGTTACGGAGCAATTGTGGCTCAGTCCTCGGTTCGCTCGCAAGCACGAGATGCTTGAGGGTTTTTGGATTGGCCCAGGCACTACAGCGCAACGCGTGGTGCAAGAGCCCTTCACTCAGCTCGAAGGCGCTGGTGGCGGTATTGGAAAACGCGCCCACTAGTATTGTTTTTTTTTGTTCGGTTGGAGAGCGTTCGGATGTGTGTTGTCATGTTCCCCGTGAGTAGCCACGTGCTGCTAGGCGGCACGGCGCGCATATCATCCGAGTGAGGTGGATGTCCGTTGGGTTGAACGCTTGCGATGGTTTCCATTCCCAGTTTTTCACCATGCGAAAAGTTGTTGCAAAGTGATGGTCGAGGAGACCGAGGCTTCATTCACCAATGTTGCGCATAGTTTTGCCGTGGCGCTGGCAGGACATCTCCCTATTTGATTCATGGGCGCGCCTTTTGGACACGCGACCAGGAAGAGACCACGCACGTCCACTGGTCTGGCGTACTGGGGTTTGCACCACATCACAGGGCGCACACTGACTGAGAGTCTTTTTACACCAATCAAAACAAGCACAACAAAAATATAAAGTAAAACGAAAAATACGGGCGGGTGGACGCGCTGACACGATCAACATTCACCGCCTGTTACGACAAAATATGCACGCAGCCGAAGTTTTGATTGTACAGCACTAAATTGGGGCCTGGCTTGCCGCTCAGGGTTTCCCGCATCGCTTTCTGAAATTCGTTTTGTGTGGCATTTCCCCCACCGCGCCAGGCGAGCTTCACATTGCGATCATGAGCAGGTTGTTGACTGGATGGATGAAAATGCATTGCTTGCCCCCCGTACGAGGCAGGGTCGCGGCGCCAGGTTTTTTTGTGACATCTATCTGCTAGCGATTTGTTGCCCACCGAAACACGTGTGCGGTGGCGTAGTCATTGCGCAACAGTTTGCCCGTTGAGCATAGTCGTTCGAAAGTGCTTCAACTGTGGTTCCAGGAGCAGCCCGGAGGCAGCTCAGAAATCCAGCATGCGTCGGCCATCGTAAGTGCAATAACGCGGTTGCGGCGCTTAATATCGCAGGGCAGCTGTGTGATTCGCATGAAGGTGTTTGCGCCGTGCGAGGCGCTTCAATGATGACCCGCGGTTCTGCTTGCAGCGTTCATGAGCTTACGCGATCGGGGAATCTCGGGGCGACAACAGCGAGGGTCGCGCTCACCTTCGATATGAGGTGGGTGGTGTATGCCTCGGACTGGGCCGTCCGCCAAAAAAGGGACCACTCGACCGCGCGAAGCGCCACGCGGCAGCGTTCGTTCCCACGTTGGCGACAGGCTTGTAGCTGCATTGTGCGGCGGATGTCTCGGTGAGTCGATGTATAAAGAAGTTTGGGTATGCACTGGTGTTGCTCTGCGTTGAGCATGCCGTGATACATCCTGCTTCACGAGCCCTTGTCGGTTTGGCTATACGAACCTAGTTCGCCAGCTTCGTTACAGTAGGACAGTGCCTCGGTTACCTTGGAGGCCACTTTACGATCGCGTATCGGTCGCGCTACGACACTTGCGAACCTTTTCATCTGCACGAGAGGTGCATATCGACCATGTGCACAGCGAATTCAAAAATGTTCCGTTCGGGTGCAGTCTAAGCGTGCACCATAGTTGTTGGCATGTTTGAAGCCAACGAGCCGACAGACGCCACGCATCGGTGAATTGGACGTCTTGCAGACATTGCAAATCGGCAGGTGGACGCTTGGGTTGTAGATGTTTCCGTTGTCCACACCTCTTTCGTCCTGGGCCCCGCTCCTCTAGATCCTTTGGGTGTTTTTGGCTGAGCATCGAACCCGTCCACCTGTCAGGACATCGCATATACGCTTTACCAAAGAGCCGCGATGTTCTGCCCCATCCTTTCCTCTCTCCCCCTCGCGTGACCTGCTGGCGTCTGTCTGTATCGCTGCACCCGCAACCTCTGGGCACTACAGTAACTTCCGATTGCAGATTGTTTGTGTCATGTTCATTGCATGTGCTGGTCGCGATAGCAGCACGCCGCCTCGATTGATGGCCCAGCGCATCCGTGAGCATTTGGCGCGCAGACCAGGTCAGAGGATTTATTTATCACAGTTTACCTTGAAGCCGACATATGGATCATGCCGGGTATACATATTGTCTTCGGCCGATTGTTGCGCGATGGGGGGAACTCGTGTTGTCACGCATTACAAATGGGTCGGGTACGTCTGTGGATAACCTGCATGTTCGGAACTCTTTGGGGGTCCTTTCGAATCCTCGCAGGGCCGTGCTGGAGGCCATCCGCTCAAACAGGGGCAGTCCTTCATGAGCACCCCATTTTTAGGGTCCAAATATTCGTCTCTGGGAGACCTCGGAAGTCTTTCTGTAATGCTACTGGGGTCATCTTGGGGCCCCTTTGGGAGCAAGGTTGAATAATTTTTGGGGCATCAGAGGCTTAGCGGAAGAGAACATGCATGTATGTTAAAATCATTGGGCACCATACGTGCTTCAATGATTCTGGACTATCCGGGGCGTCCTTGGAGGCTCAATGGCCACCTCGTGCCACGTTCTTTGAATGGTGGAATCCCCTTTCCCTCGGTGGGGAAGATGGGATTTGTACATCATCATCAGCGCATCGGCTTCATTGAAAAAACTTGCGCCATGCTTAGCATGTAATGGGGTCTTTTTTGGAGGCATGTTCAATTTGGACCATACTGTGGCCACCTGGGGCCACTTTAGACCCTCTGACCCCCCGACCCAGGACTCCGAAAAGACATCCCCTCTGATTCACGGATGCCGTGGGTACGTAGACTTGAGTGAGTGTGTATATATATATATATATATATATATATGTAGCAGGCCACCAAATCGCCGGATGTCAACGCAATCGCAAGGCTAGGCGAGGCACGGCAGGCCTTCAAGATGCTTCCGGCATCGCTCGCCGATGCCCCAAGAATGCCATACGATGGATCTGACGTGGCCCCCGAGCCTCCCAGGGTAACCCCCAAGAGGCCAAACTTAGTCTTTGAATATTGAAGGTGTGCTTCGGTGTCGTTGCTTTCTTGTCTTTTCCAGCGTCCGATAAGCATCTGCGACCCCAACGCTCCAGAAGATGGCCAAGAGGGCCCCGAAAGTGCCCCAAATGCTTCCTAAACCACCGCAAAAGAGCTTCAAGGGAGCTTCAAGAGGCCCCCGACAGAACTTTCAGATCCGAGGCCGAGCCTAACCAGGATTGCCACAAATGTCCCAAAGCGGCCTCGGGACGGCACCAGAGGTTCCAAGAGGCCCCAGCTAGGCCTCAGGGGTATTTCAGAAGAGCCGCAAAGGGAACCGGTCGACCCTCAAATCGGAGGCTATGCCCGACAAGGTTGCTTATCCTCGGCTCGTCCGTCTCTCCGCCGCTGGCCAGAGGCAGCCGCCACACCAAATCGGCAGCAGCCTCCAGTCCATTGCTGGGGTTGGGAAGTGTTGCGGCGTGTGGGCAGGGTGAACGAGCGAGCCCATTCCCGAAGGGAAAAGAAGAGGTTGATATGAAAGAGTTGATACTTCAACCCACTTAGGCCTGAAAGGCTGGTCGGGTTGCGAAGTCGGCCATGGCGGGAAACACGGCGACATTTTGTTTCAGCAGCGTTCCCGTCATAAGGGACCGAGTGGTCGAGCAGATGTTCGGTTCGGGTGTGGCTAGCTGGTCAGCATCTGGCGTGCAGGGATGAGCTGGCCGCAACCCAGCCAGGTTCTCGCAATTCGGCCGTGTTTGGGCGATAGGAAGCGGAGGAGTTGCATCTGGCGGTGGCCCAACCATTACGCACGCAGCGCGACTGCGATTTGTCTGCAAAGTTGCCGAGCATATTGCCATCTCAAGACATGTTTTCCCAGCCGATTTCTTCACGAACACTTCCGCCTCCTCATCATCATCATGATCGCACACCGGTGTCAGCAGGGCGGCCTGGACGTGATGCGCCACATTTCCTCTCCAGGTAATGGCCCAAAATTTTGACATGTTAGGCTTTACACAAATAGAGAGCTTGTGCTTCTCAAGTCGGTGGTTCACGTTGATGCGCTGCGCACATGTGTTCAATATGCCTGCAACGGTTACGCGATGCAGGGCGAATCGTTTGGCAAATGCGGTTCTTTTTGAAACGCGGTACATTTTCAGATGATTGCGGAAAGCGGGCCGTGTTTTCGTAGTTCTCAGTTGCACAGTTTCGATTATTCTATCGCCCGAAATTGAGAATCGCAACATCCGCACGAACGGAGGGTGGCCCTTTTCCAAAACAGTGCTTTTGTTTTTGGGAATTCCCCATGGTTGGGTGTCACGCAGGATAAGAATGCGTAACAGCTTCAAGATCGGACAGCCGTTCCTTTTCGAAATGGGCGCTTCATTCGACACGCGCTTGAGTGCTCCCACATTTGGCCACTCCGCGCAAGTGGGGAGACGGTGCAGGGCAGCTCGTTTCCACAAATGAGTTTTGGTTGCATCGCACGCCCATGCGATGTTCGTCTTTCAAGTCGGCGCACCGCGTAGCGAAAGTGATTACGCACATGCACCAAAGAGGGAATTTTGCACGGGAGGGTGCATTGCATATTCGTTAATGCAACATGGGTTTAATACGGTATTTGTTCTTTGATTCCCATCCTTAACCTCCTTTTCCCAGGCAAACTCAGGAGACCAGCAATTCGTTCAAGAACCTTCTTAGAGTGGGGCGTAACATTCTGGATCGGCTGCAGCATCCATACATCCTGTGGGCTCGCCCGCTCTCAGAGATCACTGAGATGCTTGCTCATGATTTGGTTGTTGCCATCCTCGTTTCAATATGTGGGACATAAGCGATAGTCCAGATTTGGGACTTGTCTGGAGCTCAAGACCGTTCTGGAGTTCCTGGACCGTTCGCTATCTGCGCGTCAGTCGCGAGGCCAAACTATTGTGGGAGCAACTGGAGACCACCGTGTCGGACCTCTTGTGCCGAAGTTGCCCCCTCTTGGATTTTGCGAGGCCACTGGCAGGATACATCAACAATGCTTCAACACACCTTCCCGTCCCAAGGGCCTTCCACTTGAGTCCCTATTTGTATTAGTTTTCTCTGGCGGGAGCGCCCACTTGAAATACGAGCACCCATTAGGCGTGCGAAGCAAGCGGCAAATCAATGTTGAAAAGGAGCCGCTCTCAATCCGTGGATTCATCATCGGTGTACCGATGGAAATGAAAGGATTTAAGGAAGTGCCCAGCGAGAACCCCCTGTTTGAAAAGCCACCGCCATCCATCCGAATAGTTGATACATGCTCAGCTTCGCGCAATGGGGTGTAAGGAATATCCAGCAAGAGCCCCATGTTGAAAAGGGACCGCCATCCACCCCCTTGATGCGGCGCAGCGGCGAGAGCCAATATGGGGGGGAAGCTCCACGCCCGCATCCGTCCAGCTGTTTCATGTCTCAAGTTGCAGGACCGTAGACTGTGAGGAAGGACCTGGCGAAACGCCTGGCCTGCCATTCCGACACGTCTGGTGCCACAGCGAGGCAGAGTTGCCCACCAAGAAGAAGATCGGAGGAGGAGGAGGAGAAGGAAAGTCCATTCTCGCAGCGTCTCTCCGGCCCCTCGCTTCCTCCCGGCTTGATCTGCTCCGTCTTCGGCGGGCAAGGCCGTGCCCCTCGCCCCGCGAGAGAGCGAGAGAGAGACAGAGGGGGAGAAGCCTGGACCCTTCCGGCACCTCCCTGGCCCTCGCAGCCGCAGGTCTCTCGGACGACGAGCTCGGGGCCCCGAGGCCGCGCGCGGAGGTCCGGTCGCTGCTGGGGGCCGTGGGCTACCCGCTCGGGCCAGAGCAGTTCGACGAGCTTTGGGAGGCCGCCGCTGGGCTCCAGGAGGGCGCTCACCCCTCCCGCCTGCCCATCCCTCCTCCCCTCCTCGAAGGGGGCAGGATCATGCCTCTCGTGCGCCTCCACCTGCTCCGTGCCCTCGTCCTGGTGGGAGCACGAGAGGGTCCACTCGTACTCCTCCTCTCGTACTCCTCAGCCCATTCCTTGCCCCCCTCCTCCTCATCCTCCGCCTCCTCGTCCGCCCCCCCTTCTCCCAATCCTCCCCTTCCTCCCCTCAGGCCCTCCATGGAGTGTTTGACCTCCATCATCGAATCCGTTCCCTCCCTTCTAGACCTTTCCCTTCAAATTGCAATGTGCGTGTGACTTGGGAGCTTCTGCGCCCCTGACCTCTCCGCTCCTCTCCTCTTGATGCCTCCTCTGCTCGCCTGGTGCGCTTCCCTTGGCCCATGGGAAGTTTCTGCGGACGGACGTGCACTTGGGCGGGGCGGTTGGGCAGCAAGATCCAAAGATCCAGAGTTCCTCCCCCCACGTCTGCAGTTTACCTTTCTTCTGGGAGGGAGGTAAGGGGCGTCAGCGTGGTGCAAGTTCGAGTTCCGCAATGCGGACTTCTTGGTGGACGGGCCCAGCCAGGTCGATCGTGTCGAAATGCATTTTATCCTTTAAACATGGTGCTCCCGCTACAGCGTCGGGCACATGTCATGATTGGCGCCTTGCTCCCGTCGTTCAGATCGGCGCCCTCGCCCCAGCGCAGGCCAAGCTTATGGATCTGATTAGTTTCTCGTCGTTGCCATCCTCCTCGGTTCCCTCCTCCGCCTTCCCTTAGTCATACTGCTCCCCCTGCTTCTGTCTGCTGCTGCTCCTCCACCTTCCTCATCATGTTTTTATTCATACTTGTCTTCCTGCTCCTCCGCCACCTCATCCTCCTCCTCCTCCTCATCCTCCTCCTCCTCCTCCTCCTCTTCCTCCTCCTCCTCCTCCTCCTCCTCCTCCTCCTCCTCCTCCCCCCTCCTACTCCTCGTACTCCAACGTACTGAACTCTCCTTTCTGATTGTGCATCACACGATGGGGCCACCTGGGGATTCAAGGTCCTCGAGGACACCCTAGTCGGCTGATAGAAAGAAAGCAGCGCAATGGTAGGGGAGGGGTGGGTGGTGTCGGATGTCAGAAGTGGCGTGCGCACAGCGCTTGTCACCATTCCCTTTGCCTCCCCGTCGCCACTTCACCTGCCTGTTCCATCATATGTCCCGTCCCCTGGAACTTGTGGGGTCCGTTGAGAATCCTTGAATGGTTTTCGACACCTCTCCTCCACCTCCTCCTCAATTTCCTCCTCGCCCTCCTTCCACCGTCTCATGATCATCGTCGTGCTTCCCCTCCGTAGTTGTCAGTTCCGAGTCGTCCAACAAGGTGCTAGCGACAAGCAAGTAAGTTGCAGACCGTTGCGAAGTCAAGAGGTTACAAAGGATACTAGTACTCACTAACCTCCCTGCTGCAGGCGGCCACAGCACCCGATACTGAGAAAGAGGGATACGGTACATGTGCTTTTACAACTGGACATGCATACACTCATACACGCATGTTTGAATTTTCTGTATGAATGTACGCATGCATACACGCGTAGGGTTCATTCACAAAACAACAGCTTCCAGGTCAGAGACTGAGTTCTCCTCGCATGTCTAAGGAAATGCTGATTACAGGGTAGATTGTGGAGATTGTTTTAGATTTGTAATGTCGTCTCTAACCCTTCATTCCGTTTCCTATTTTCAGCAGCTTCTTGTTGTTGTCGTTGTTCTTCTACCGATGTGTGTTAATTCTCCATACCGAGACCTAGACCATTCGCTAAGGAAACGAGATGTTCAGAAATGTGTTATTAGGCTGAAGTTATCTCTATCATATTTATCGGTTTTTATATGTGTGTAGGTCTCTCCTCTCTCTCTATCCCTTTCCCCATCTCTCTCTCTCTCTTTCTTTGTCTCTCCCTCTCCCTTTCTGTATCTTCTTACATGCTACAATCTACACACGCATTCCTTCCCATTTGTTTGAATTGGTTCGAAGCCCTGCGGAACCCACCCGCAATACGGGACCCCCCGGATCCGTGGCCCCGGGGACCCCCTGGATGTCCTTGCAGAGGGTCCCCCGGGTTGTCCGGTCTTCTTGGGCGCCCTTGTTAGGCTTCGCCAGCGGGCCCAAATTGGTCAGGAGGGCGGCCGAACGGCCCCGCGAGAGCCCCGAGCGCCCCAAAAACGCCCACCAGACGCGCGAAGACGACCCACAGAAGAGAACAAAAAATGCCATAGAAACGCAATCCAAAAGAGCAACAAGACGGCCCAACAGGGCCCCAACATGGCCCGAAGAGGTCACATGACGGCCCAGGGTGCCCCAAGACGCCCCCTGAAGCACTCCAAATCGTGATCCGATCGTTCAGGGAGACCGCAGTAGGAAGCAGAGTGGCCCGAGGAAGCCCCCAGAGGATCCCAGAAGGCGCCCAGGAGGCTCCAGAAGGCCTCAAGAAACCCTTAGAAGTCTTCGTGAGGCCCACAAGAGACTCTCCAAGGAGGAGCCACCGTAAAAGAGCTTGGGAGGATGGGGAAGGGTTCGCATGGTGGGGCGAGAATGAAGAGGAAACATGAGGGAAGGAGACGGAATCATCTTACTATGACGACGAATTCGTAAGAGGCAACAATGGGTAATGGCTAGATTTACTGTGTTTACCCTCCTTCCGCCTGCATGCCTAACGTCGAGGACCTATGTGCATGGCGCGAAGCGCCAGCGCATATATACATGTGTGTGCAGCCTGCAGGTGCGTTGTTGCAGATGGCATGTTATGACATGAAGCGCCGCGTGCGCGCTAGACGCTTACACGCGCTTCATGAGCGAAAGGTGGAACTTCGCATTCGTTCAAGCATGCTTCACTATGCGGAACACCAAGGCGCTGTGCAGAAATAGTAAGGAAAATTGTGCTTGAGTGACCAGATGGCCACGCTTGTCTGTCCGATTGTTGGGTCTACGCAAAAGCAGATAAGAGACTTGATGGGGCATGATGGCGCTACCATTGCTCACCCGCGCAAAGTTGTGGCAGCTGGGAACAAAATAAACACGATTCCATGAATATGGTCGCACGGCGTCTGGAATACATGCAAATTGAGACACGGAGCTTCCGAAATGTTTTTGTATATACATATGTACGTATGATGTTGGGTGATTGGATTGCCGTTGGTTCTATGAGAGAAGTGGCGAAAACAGAGACGGCCTAGAGACGAAAGACATCTCTAGCGAGGATTCGTCAACCAACCAGAACGATGTTGTAGTAGACGTCCTCGTTTGCAAAAGTCAAGCCATGGAAGACATTGATGGCGAAACCCAGCCACCTGGGAAACGCATTGGATGTGCAACAGAAGTCTACAGAAGCTGGTGGTCGCGCCTGTAAAATGCAAGAGTGGGATGCATGGCAAAGCATTGCGAAAATGCGGCTGGAAGAGCTGGCACCAAATATTCCACGGAAGCTCAAAGCAGATGTCGCAATAAAACGGCCAAAAATATTGATGCGGCAGTTTTTGTGTGCATCGAGTACGGATGTATAGACGATAGTTGTTCAGAAGTTGTACAAGCATGACTAATTGTATGGATATATGTTTATATAATGGATGATGTTGTTGGTCGAATGCGGCAGAGGCTGAACTAAGGATACGGCACGTGATTTGATAATCGATTCGTTCGAGCATGGGGGCGATGTTGTACACAGAGGTTGAGACATGACATGTGGGCATGCTGTGAAACAAACAGATCGTACTGCTAGATGTTAGCCAGCGTGGACCCCAAATAGAGAGGTACTCCTGCATTGTGGAGGTGAAAGCTATGCGGAGTACGATGTGTGGTGCTAGCTAGGTGGTGCAAATTGAGTTGCGTGAGCTATGTAGTGCAGGCAGTGATGTGTCAGTTCTTCGTTGTGGCCCGTGTGGTGCAAGCTATGTTGTGCGAGCTATGCGGTGAAATCTATGGGGGTGTGAGCTCTCCGGGGTCAGCCATGTTGCCCTCCAAGAGCACAGGGCACCCACGAGGTGCCCACGGACGGGCAAAAAGGCGAAACCTCGGCCGACCCACCCAGGGCACGGGGGACCCGCGAGGCGCCCACGTGGAAAATCCTCCGCAGACCCGTCCAATTCTTTGATGCAAGCAAAGTAAGAACCCCGAATTTCAAGAACTGGTCAGGAAAGTTTGCGGCGCGCTTGGCGTCTGAAGCGAGAGGCCCGCTTGCCCAGAAACGTATGAGACGCCTGTTCGGTCTAGGGCTCCCCCCGCTTCTTGCGTTGGGAGTGGCCGACTCTTTCATTACTCTTCCCTCACTTCCCCCCTGCCACCCTTGCCTCATTGTGCTCTCTTCAGGTCGAAGCGTGTTGCAGCGATGCGAGTGGCGTCCAACCTAGTCAGAGGGCTAAGCCCCGAGGGTGGGGATCCCGCTGAGTCGGGCCCGTTTCCCCGATAGATGGCTCCAGGGTGCCGAAGGCAGCCGCGGGGGGGATGTCAAACTTTTTCCCCTTCGCTTCCATGACATTCCTCGGAGTGTCCACGTTGTCGAGATTGCAGACTTCAGCCCCCATGGTTCAACCACCGTCATCACCTGCCACTCCCTGGTCTGGCCTCTTCTCTGCAGCACCAATGGCAGGACTCGGCTTCCCTCGACTGTGTGCTGAAAGTGTGCGCGCAGCGTGGGTACGCGCCCGGCGCGGTGGCGAAGGGTGGGGACCCCAGAATCACAGGCGGGCGCCAGCGAAGGGAGGAGACGGAGGAGAAGGGAGGGAAGGGGAGCGAAGGGAAAAGCGAAAGGGAAAATGATGGGGAAATGGAGGGGAAATAGAAAGGGACAGGGAAAAAGAAAGAGAGAGAGAGAGAGATGGAGATGGAAGGCCAGAGAGAGAAAAGATGAGTGGAGGATAAAAAGTAACCAAAAACATCGGGCAGCGCATTGTCATGTCATACAGATCATGGGGTTCAATGCCAGGCTGCTCGTTATTTCCATCGTTCCTTCCAACCGCTACTGTAAAGGATCGACTCATCTTCAACAACTCACCACGGTACAGACCTGGATGTCGAGGTCGACGTGTCCGTGGATCTTCGAGCCTACCGTTGCATTGTCAAGCTCAAGATTCGCCTCCGGGAGGGCCCAAACCATCTGGAGTTTGAGGGCAGGTTGTTGTCGAGCTTGAGCGTAAAGCTTCCTTGAACGTCGCCCGTGTGTAGAGATTAGGAGAAGGAGAAGATGAGGAGAAGCAGGAGGACCAATGTTAAACCCAAGATGCCTCAACGATGCTGCAATCCACTCTCTCGTCCCCAGTCCCCCTCTCATGAGTCACTGCACGCCGTCCTTTACATTACAAGGAGCGCCCCCATGAAAAGAACAGCTCTCCATGGGCCTGCGATTCAGGCGAGATCCCCGCTTGAAAAGGAAAAGCCCTGCATGCTTGCAGAGTGCTGAAAGGCTCCCCGAATGGAGTATGATTGTGCCTCCGACCTGCAGTAGTCCATGTGGTTCCCGCAGGGAGTGTCACATAGCACCACGCAGGGAGCACCACATGTGAATCCGACCGGCAGCACTGCACTGCTTCCCGCGGAGAGTATTGCATGGCCTCCCGCAGGGAGTACTGCCCTCGCGAGCGTGGCACGAGGCTCCCGCAGACGCTGGACACTGGCCGCCGCGCGCGAGTGTCACGGGCCAGCCGCTGCGCTGGGTGCGGGCCCGCCGCCGGGAGGCGCACGGGCCGCCGCGCTGGTCGGCCTGCACGCTGGCCACGGGGGCTCCCTGGGTTCGGGCCGCCGCTTCTCGCTGGGCACCTGGCGCGCCGCTCGCTGGGCTCGGGCCGCGCCGCCGCGCGCTGGGTTTGGGTCCCGCGGGCGTTGGGCAAGGGACGCCGCGCGCTGGGCACGAGTCGCCGCACGCGCTGGGCACTGGGTCGCCGCGCACGCTGGGTGCGGGACCGCCACGGCGCCGGGCGCGAGGCCGCAGCTCGCGCTGGGTGCTGGCCGCCCCCACGAGCGCTAGGCACTGGGCCGCCCGTTTCCCGCAAGGGTGCCAGACGAGAGCAATGGCAGATTCGATGTTTCTTTTAGGATGGTCCGAGGGGCTGACTTGACTGCAGCACGCATCAGTCGATGGAATTGCCCGCCTCCCTCAAGGCAGTCAGCAGGACCACGGCATAGGATGTGTTTGTGGAGCACGTCCAGCTGGGCACAAGCATAAGCGTAGCTGTGGGAAGTCACGGCACGCCACGCGCGGCACGCCACACATGGCACGTACAGCACACCACGTGCGGCACGGTACGCACGACATGAGCATGGCACGCACGGCACGCCTGCACGGGTATTGAATCCATGACTTGGGGAAGAGCAGAGCGCTCTCGCCGAAGTGCCAGAGACTACACACCCCTGTTGCTGGCCAGGGGAATGTCAGCATTTGGAACTATGGTGGTCAGACTTCTGTCAGCGCCAGCTGCTGATGCGTTGCCCAGCCTGCATAATTCGTTGGCATCCTTCACATTTGTCTTCGTTGGCTTCTTCTCCACATTGATGCTCATTGCTTTCGCCCATGCCATCTCGACACCTTCACAGTTCAAGTCGAGCTTCCTCGAGCGAAACGAGTATTGCTTCATCCCCTTCTCCTGCGTGTCGTCGTCGATCTCAGTTTTTTCTTGTGGTTGTCATGCCTACACCTCTGGTTTCTAATGAGAAGTAAAAGAATGCGATGGCGAGGCGAGTCCGCCGCCGAGGATGTGCGAGTGAGCATGGGCGGTGGGTGACCGCTAGGAATTCAGAGGGAGGGCAGTGCGTCATATTGCCCAGCTCGTGCAGACGCAGCGCTGGACCCGTCATGCGATGAAAAGTTTCAAAGTGAAGCAGTTGCAGCGTGATGTTTCCCCTGGACTTCGCATTTGGATGCAAATGGGGGGAAAGAATCGTTCGATGAGTAAGGTTCAGAGGTGGTACACACCAACGTGGACCTCAAATTGAGGCCTGGCAACCTGCACGATCATTGATGATACGGCCGCGACGCTAAACATATGTGTTGAATTTCATGGTATCGATGTGCCCCCACAGACCACTCGATGTCGCCCCCAAGAGGGCCCGCGCTGAATATCGGGCTCCCCGGTGTGGAATCTAGCCTTGTGGCCCCGAGGAGACCCACGCAAGTTTCCAACGGTCTCAGCACATTAATTATTAGAAAGCGTTGCCTTCGAAAAGTAGAACAACGAGTCGATCTCGTCCGATCAGGTCCTACCGCACTCACCAGTGCCCACCATAATGCACCAGCCTAGATTTACCTCATTAGTGGTGTACGGACATATAGATATTTCGTTCCCGCTTACAGCATAAATCCACTCGGGCGCAGCATTGCCAAAGCATGTGTGTACTTGTGTCGACATGAACACGATGAGGACAACAGTGGCACCGCAGGATGATCTGGAAAGTCTGACCGTTAAAGATTTGGCGAAAGTCTTTAACCCGCATCCCCCAGCTTTCGTTGCCGACGCGCCGAGTCCACCGCTTGCACTGTTCATATTTTGTCGATCGCTTTATTCTGCCCAGACTCACACTTGACTTCCAGCGGCGAGGCATTCCCGTCTCCAGCATCCCATTTTTTGTACGCAGTCTGCTTTGTGATCGCGGTTTCTCCTTCTGCCGTGGGAGCAGCGGCACCGAGGATGAAGAGGGCGGAATTCAAATGGTCGAACGAAAGCCGGAAGTTTGGCCACAGGAGCTCCTATTGCCGGAGCTGTCATGGGCTTGTTGCAGGAATTGTCGAGTCCGCTTGCATCTTCAGCCTGGCCGACGCGGAGGTCGAGAGCCCAAGTTCTGGAGGGAGCACGCGCAACAAGGAAAGTGACAATGGCATCCGATCGGATTTCCGCAGGTCTTCACAACATTTGGACCATGAGTTTTCCGAGTCGATGCATGCTGGCCCGTGCTTTTAATTTGTGAATTTCAATCGGTTCTAGCAGTTCTTGCTAGCTTAAGTGCCCGTTGCCGTCGCATGTATCCGTCCCGCGCATTCTGGCAATACTGCGAAGCCTGTCATGCATATGTGTCGCAGCCTGGTGAAACTGCGCAACCGCTCACACATCCGTCACACCATGGAATATTCCTGTCATGGTGTTTCCAATGGTCTGTTTTCCATGTTCTTGAATGTGTTATTCGCGTTTTGTTTGTTCGAGCATTCGACACGGCTACGGTGTGCTATGTGTGCCATTACATACAAGTTCCATGACGAAAGTGGCACATGCAAATGTATATTGAAATCTGCGTCATCGAAACAATGCTGTCCAGCCACCCCCATGATTCTGAACCAGGTCATCGCAAATATTTCGAAGAAACGGATACGGAAACGGATCGGGATGTTGCCGCGTCGATGTTCAAAAGTATATGGTTCGGTTTTCTGCGCCCATGGACGCTCGCTCAGCCAAGCCCACATAGTAGCAACTCGCAAGAGACGACAGTGGCTCGGAAATGACGTGTCGACTTGCAAGCTCCACCCACCCAAGCTTTCCTTGTACAGGCGCCGTCCCAAGATTTGTTTTGTGTTCAGAGATGTGCCCCAGACCAAAAACGTACTTTGATAGAGTCGCAAGGTTCAGTGGACGCAAATGGTATTTACAGCTTGGCAACGGATGGCCACAGGTTTCAGATGACGGTAGGGGCGTAACACTTATCCATTGGGTTGAACAGTTTGAGGGTTTCGGATCACCAATGAGGCGCCTCCAAGCGGGTGTTGCAATCGCGTGGCGATGATTCCACGGGCGACAGAAAGCACGTAGCAATGGGCACGCCGATTCAAGATACGAGTTGCTACGAGAAGACAACGAAGATATTGAACTTCCCCACCAGGTACGCTAGGCGGATTATGTTTCAGGTGCGATGGCGTGTGAAAAGGTGCTCCCATGGTTCGGGCACGTGGATCCCAAACAGTGCCCTGGAGCACACAGGACGGTGGCCGTTCCCTCCATGCACATCGGATTCGACTTGCAAAGTCCAGCACGCAATGACCGCGAGGTTGACGTTGATGTGTTTGCAGCCCGAACGTACAGCGCCGCTTCCGAGCAACATGGTGTCGAAATGTGTGTACGAAGTTTATCTCACTATGAGGCTTCACCCAATGCCATAGAAGGTTTGCGAAGCGTCTCAACAGCTAGGCGAACGAATTCCCAGACGAGGTGGAGAAGACGGGCCATTCGCGTGATCGAGCCACGAGGTCCGTTGCATTCAAAATGTCGACGTGTTGTCGGGTGGGTGCAACATAAAACCTAGCTTTGATTACGCAGAGAAGATCCTATTGCATTGCGCGGCTAGGACAACGGTACCGTAGCATTTGCATGGTATGTTATACGTTTTATATTTGTACCGGTGTTAATGTTTGAACAACCGGGCCAAGTACGGCGAGAGATTGGATGGCGGGCAGCGCGGTCAGACTCCCAGAGTCGTGCGATTGACGACGCACTTCGGTCCTTAAGGGTATATACGACAGGGGGTCCAAGACGATAATGACAATAGGTCACTATTTAGCATTTGCCCAGCGAACGACCGGAAGCGCGATCGGATTGTGGTTTTCTGAAGATTCCTATTTCTTTCTTGTCTTCGGTAGATCCGCTTGCAAGCATGCATGTGTACACATGTGCACATGCAGAAATACATACATACATACCTGCCTACATACATACATACACATGTATATACATAGATGCATACGTACATGCATACACATGTACAAGCATGTATACATATACAGATGCAGATACATATACCTATATATACATACATACATATTCATGTACACACTAAAAAAGGTTGTGATTAAAATGCGTCGTAGCACTGGGAGCGTGTCACCGTTTGTTAATCCAGGTTCGTGGCATTGACAGTTCCGTTTCTCTCCGCGAAATGTTGCGTCTTATTAATAACATGGTTTGGTATGTATGCGTATGTGCAGTCATCGGGCGATCGGTTTCCAAGACTACCCAAGAGATCCGAAAAAGCGCGCAGATGTTTACGAGAAGCACCACACGGGCTCCGAAAGGCCCTACGAAGAGGATAGAGGCAGTCAGTTTGGGAGGCTCCAAGACGGCCCGATGAGGTATGGGAAGAGGAGGGGCAGAAAGAGCAAGGAGGAGAAGAACTAGGCGGGGGGAGAGGAGGTAGCTTGCAATACAGGATCAAGAGGATCAGAGGGGGCGGGGGAGTTGGGACGTCATGGGGATCCGCGGGGAGAGAAAAGAATGAGAAAGGAGAAGGGGGAGGAGGATGTCACTGATGAGAGGGACGCGATGGAAGAGGAAAAGGAGGGGTAGGTGAACGAAGAAGAGAAGCAAGGATAAGGAGGAGAGACACAATATTCCATTTAACTTATTTGCTTAACTCATCCGGACCCTGCGGAAAATCTGCCCCCCACCCCCCACCCGGAATGGGACCCCCATGGATACCCTTGCAGGAGGCCCCCCAGGCTTTTCAGTGTTCCTGAAAGCCGTTGCTGGACCTAGGCGGCGGCCTGGGGGGTCACAAAAGGCCCCAGTCACCCACCAGACTCACAGAGACGACCCAAAGAAGACCCCCAAGAGGCTTTCAAAACGAAGAAAAGCATTGATTTTCGTAGGTTTTGTTATGATTTTTGGGAATGCCCTGTTCTTCGGTGTTCTGGGCGTCCGACACCGCCTGGGAGGCCCGAAAATCGCCTCAAGAGGGCACAACAGGGTTCCAAGATGGCCCGAAGAGAGCCCTATGACAGCCCATCATGGCCCCAAGACGCCCCCCGAAGCATTCCAAATCGGACCTGGTCGTTCAGGGGAGATTGCGGTTCGAAGCAGGGTGGCCAAAGGAGGCCCCCAGAAGGCGATCATAATGGCGATGTCGGACTAGACAACAAGGAGTTATCGTTTAATTGTTTGTTCTACCTTCCTGCCTTTCCGCCTGCACGCCAAAAGTCAAGGACCAAGGTACATGGCGCGAAGTGCCAATGCAGTGTTATATAATGTGTATATAAAAATATGTTTGTATGCATGTATGTATGTATGTATGTATGTATGCATGCATGCATGTATGTATGTATGTATGTATGTATGTACATATGTATGTATGTGTATGTGTATGTGTATGTGTACGTATGTCTGTACGTATGTACGTATGTATGTACGTACGTATACAGTATGAATTGCCCATTCCCCGAAAAGCGTTTGTTCTAACAAGTGTTCTGCACCTTGAAACCAAGAAAGCAGGTGATCGGTGTTTTCGCCCGGTGGCCGCCCGTCAGATGTTCGTCGCCGCCCCGTGCGTTGGTTGAGTTGTCTGTGATTTCGCAGAGTGACCGCTTCGTCGCCGCCTCACGGGTTCGCTGAGTTTCCCAGGTTTGCGCCAGGTAGCCGCTTATCGCACCCTCGTGCCATTCCCCTTCGCTGGCTTTGTTCTCCAGGATTTCGCTGGTTGGAAGTCCGTAACCATTCTGTGGCTGCCCCGCTCGCTGATTAGATTTTCGCCCGTTGGCCATGTTTCGCCGCCTCGTCGCCGCCCCGTGCGCTGACTGGGATTGCCAGGTTTTCGCCCAGTGGCCGCCCGTCGCCACCTCGTGGCCGCCCCGTTCGATAACTGTGTTTTTGGTGTTTTCGCCCTGTGGCCATCCTTCGCAGCCTCGTCGCCGCCCCAGGCGTTGGCTGGGTGTTCCGTGTTTTCGCCCTGGGGCCGCCCGTCGCCGCATCGTGGATCGGGTTGCTACCCAACTTTACCAGACAGTTTTGTTGCGTTTCCTCTGGAGGCCAGGGCTAGCGGCCCGCCTCCGCGTACTGAACACAAACGACATCATGCTATGCACTTTCGTGCGCAACACTACGCGACATGTCGTGCAACAAATGCGTGAGGTACACTATGCCCTTCTATTACCTTAATAACATCGAAATCAAGGCACACCGCTAAATGTACACTGATTCCTTATAATAGTAAAATGGTCCCAATTTGTGTGTAATCTACTTCGGTTCCACTCCATTGCACATAAGCAGAATGTGACCCATTATACCACGACGATCTATCCTCGGTGCGCGAACGCTTGTGCATATATGCAATGATGAAATACAGAACAAAACGTGGAATATTTACGTCCATATAAGTAAGTATGACATATGTCCATATAAATATAGCATGCACAAGAAAACGTTGAATCACAAATTAACCGTTTTCATCATAAACATACATACCAATGCTCAATTAACGAACCAGTATGCACTATACCTGCATAGCAACAACCTTCTTCTTGTGTAAAAAATATACTATCAGAATATTGCATACCGTAAATCAACATCTAAACCTTCCGTTGCAAATTCATATGTAACGGCTCTCAATTATCATAAGACTACCGGCCAGTAAGAAATACCTTAAGCATGGACCGTGTGTGTCATCGGGACCACTTCACATTTACTCACACTGCATAAGTTCCAAAACGCACTCATGTGTGCATTTGCGTATGTATGTATGTATGGATGTGTGTATGTATATTTGAAAATATGTATGTATGTGTGTATACCTAGATTTACATATACATATGCGTGTGCGCATGTGGGTGTGAATGTGTCACGCATACGTGTACCAGTTACACAATCACAACCACGCACATAATGATACACACATACCTACATACATTCATACATGCATACACACATACTTACACCAATACATACGTACATCCGGATATGGAATCGACAAAGTTACACATATATGCGTACATAAACTATGTTTAACTATACATATAGATAATTATGTCTATAATTATACATATGCGGGCGCAGCCGATGCTGCCGACGACAATGAACCTCCCTCTTCCGGTTTTCTGGGGGGCCCTCCTACCGAACGCACAGGCGGACCCCTCTCCCCCATGTGGTTGTGCGGGGGGCTTCAGTGTGTGTGGCGGGGGGCTCCTGTGTGTTGGGGGGTGACTCCTGTGAGTGGGCGGACTCTTCATTTTTTGCAAAGTATTTGCGGAGTTTTGTTTGGCCCACCACCCAGCAAAGACCTTGCAAAGAGGGCCCCCCCTCGTTTGTTGTCATGGAGCCGTGAAACCCATTGTGTGGAAAGAGGGGTACGAGATTCAGGTCCCCCCTTTCTAAAGCTCGCCGCATGTGTCCCACTCCTCACTTTCATTTTTTCCTCCTCTTCCTTTTCCTCCTCTTTCTCCTACTCCTTTTACTTCCAAAATGGCCCCAACGTGGTTAGTAAACTCGCAAGACAAATCGTGGCGACATCGACGAAACCGCCGTGGCATGGGAATACTTGATAAATCGGTGGGCGAATGTTCCCGCTGTTTTCTGCGCCTTCTCCGAGATGCAAGTGCGTTCTTCCACGCGTCCCTGATCAAGCGACTGCATTGGCAAACGTTTCTGGATGGGTTGGTGGGGATATTTCTTGATCGCGAGTGACGCGGAGCCAATTTCATAGTTGTGAAGTTGATCAAGTTCCTCAATAACGGGAAGTTCGGCGCCATCAAAAATGAGCTGATTGTGGGCGAACCGTACGCCCCCCAGTGGGCCCGCGACCGCTGGACGACGCTGAAGACGATGCAAGTGCTGTTCGACACGATGGGCGGCGTCCTCTTTAAGTATTGGAAGTACGAGTTCCCCGCAGCTGCGCGGGCTGATGGCGTTCCAGGGGACGATGACAGCGTGGAAGAGAAGCAGAAGAAGTTGTCCGCGGGGTTCGCCGATGCATCATGGCAAACGCGCCACGCGGCGACTTCGACTTCGAACAAATGTTATGTGTCGAGCACCAGCTCGTCGACCCAGACAGGCCAAATTACCATTTCATGCGCGAACTGATCGACCGCATGCTGAGGAAGATGAAGGACAGGGACCATCGTGCGGTAAAGGCGACGCACTACCCGCGCCGGCTTCAAGTAATCCGCCCCGAGTACCTGAACATCGCCAAGCGCATATTGGCAACGCTGCTCACCAACACGCCTCTCACCGTTGGCGAAGCCAGGTTTGGGAAGACGCCAGTCATGTACATTCTGGGAATGGCCGTCGCGCGCTGGCACGCTGAGATGGAGAAGATGCAGGGCAACGAGGTCGTCGCAGCGGTGCGGGCGTCGTCCGAGATGGACTTCTTCCGCGGGGAGCGCGGGGACAGGTGGGCCTTTTGCATTTTCGACGACGGGGACTTCTCCGACCAGCGGCCCCGCGTGCTTAAGGCGTTGGCAGGGGAAAACAACAAGCGAAGTCGCGGCCCGCGCGGCGCGAAGTGCCCCTCTTGATCGGGCGACTTCGCCAAGCGTTGTTCACCGCCGCCACGGGCATGTCTCGACCCGACGCAGATGAACGCGATGACGCGCGTCAGGTGGGGCGCGGCGAAGTTCGCGATGGGGGGCAGGCGAGGTTCGGGGGCGATAACGAATACAATGCGAAGGCCGAGCCGACCAGCGAGCAGTGTGCGTTTGCCGTCACTGGCCCGGGCGTCGCGAAGAACACGACGAAATCGACATGATCTCGCCCGCGTTCCGGGAGAACCCTTCGAGCAGCAACATCGGTGCGATGCTGAGGCGTTGCAACATACTGTTCAACGCGAAGAACGCCGTCTGCTTCCACCCAGCTGGGCAAGACGATGCAGTCGAGAAGTTTCCCTTGTACGCGGGGTACTTGAAGCCAGAGGCAGGCGCGGCGCTTTGGGCCTACTTGCACGACACCAGCGCCCGCCGCGACTGCTAGGTGTTCGACCGCTTGCTCTCCTTCGAGAACAGAGAGATGGCCAAGATCATGTCCAAGAATATGACAGCGCACCGCACCGCCGCCGCTGCGCAGGCCAGCGACGGGCGCGTCGACGGCGCAGCCGCGGCCGCTCCAGGGGCGCAGCCCCCCCCGCCTGACGTATTTGAGGACGACGAGGAGGATCTATTGGGCCTCGGCTGCGGCATGGACGACGGCGAGGCCCACGGCGAAGCTGCGCCTGCCGCGCCAGGGGCGCAGGCGCCTCCGCACCACACCGATGAGACTGACGAGGAGGATCCATTGGGCCTCGGCTGCGGCATGGACGACGGCGAGGCCCGCGACGAAGTTGCGCCTGCCGCGCCAGGGGCACAGGCGCCCCCGCCCAACCCCGATGAGGCTGACGAGGAGGACGCCTCGGGCCTCGGCTTCGGCATGGGCGGCAACGGCCCCTCCGACGCGGCGCCCGCCGCGCCGCGCTCGCCGCTGCCCTAGAGGGTCCAGATTGAGCGCGGCGCGCGGCAGAACCTCAAGCCCCCGCCAGGCAGCAGCGACCCCATCGACCACTGCTCGCCGTCGCCAACTCCGAATAAAAAGACTGCCAAGAAGGTGCTCTCGCAGGAAAGGGAGTTCGACCTGATGTTAGACGAAGAGTTCCAGAAGCTGGCTGCTGGCGCGACGGGCAGCCCGTCGGCCGCGGCACGAGGGCTGGATGGAGGCGGCGAGCAGCGCGCGCGCGGGCACTTCGCGGGCGCACGTGCGCTGTTTCGCACCAGATGAGGTGACCGCCCGCCGCGCTGCCCCCAGATTCAGCTAGGCATTGTTTTCGTCAGATTGCCCCGAGCTGCGTTGAGTCGTTCCCGTTGCCAAAGCCCGCAGCACTTCCCGAAGGAGTAGAAAGGTTGTGTCTTGGCGGCGTTTCTGCACCCGCAAAGGCCACGATCACGTCGCGCGTGGCAGAGGCGTTTGACTAGCGAGACGCAGCGAGCGCCCCGACCTTCCCCCGCCCTCGCGCAATGACTCGTTTCTTTCCGATCCCAAAGACGGGCAAGGCCCGCGCCGCCATGGGGGCGCCGCGTTCTCGCAGCAAGGCAGTGATCTCACCCACGAAGGCGACGAAGGCATGAAGCCCATGAAGGCGATGAAAAGCACGCAGTCCATATGAAGCCCGTCAAGAAGCCCGCTAGCAAGAAAGCTGCTACCCCGCCTAAGAATGCGCCTTGCGTTCGGCACGGCACAGCGGCCATCTCGAGGGGGCGCAAGGACAAGGCTGCGTGGGAGAGCTGCGTCAAGGATTTCGTTAACCGCTCTGAAAAGTTCGTGATCGACAAGCTGCGCAAGGAGAAGATCGTGCCAAAGTGGGAGGGCGCCACCTGCCCGCATTGCAACGAGGGCGTCCTCGGGCCGCTGAAGGATCACGGGGAGAAGAAAGGCGGGTGGGGGCATCGGTGCAGCCGTAATTGGTGCACTCGCCACGTGTCGCCGCACTCGTTCCACCTCATATTCAACGCCGGCACGGGCCAATCACACCCGACCATTGCGGATCAGTCCGCCGTCTTCTTCTGCGCGGTCGCAGGTTGTCTTCAAGCGACCACGCGCCTCTTGCTGAAGAAGAGCCACAAGGAGATCGAAGGCATGTACAAGTCGCTCCACGCTGCGCGCGCCACGCACGCGCGCCTTAACGAGCCGAAGACCAAGTTCGGCAACGACGTGGAGTGGGCAGATGTCGAAGCCGACGAGGTGGACCTGGGGAAGATGGAAGACCCCGACACTGGGCCACGCGCTGCGAGGCCGATGATCTGGGAGCAGCGGGGCGGGATTGCGCAGCGGAGCTCCAGGCCCTGGGCCTATCCGCAAGGCGGATTGGGCGCCCCTCTCTAAGAAGTGGCTGAAGGGACGGAATGTAACCTTCCACACCGACGGCGCGAAGTCTTACAAGCTGAAGCAGCCTGGCGTCGTCCACGATTGGGTGGTTCACCAGAAGAAGCGCAAGCCGGTGAATGGCAAGTGGGCGTGACTCAAACCGTGCTACAGCAAGAAGCGGTACCACGACGTCCCAGAGCCTTTGAGCGCGGGCGCAAAGAAGAGGATCTGGGTCAAAACAGGCACCCAGATTACCGACGGCATCTGGCGCGAGCTCCGCCGCTTCGTCGGAAAGAAAAAGGCCGTCGGCTCCGCTCTCGTCAAGCAGAAAGTTCGCAGCTTCCAGTGGATGCATTGGAATCGCGGCAAGGATCTGCGGCACGAGACGGGCGCCATGCCGCACGATGTTTGGCAGAAGAACTAGGGCAACTGAGTCTGCGCCCTCGCGGTGTCCGTGCTGATGCCCCTGCGATGACTTTGTAAATTTTGTCGCTATTTTTGTTGCTCTGACCTCTAGAAGGGCCCTGGGCTTGATTTTCGTAGGATGAGAAGAGAATCCTAGAACCCCAACGCAATCCTTTTGAAAACGCAAGGTTCGCGACACCACAGGTATGGAAACCCTGCGTTTTCATTTGGTTTCCTTTAATTTCTGAAATGAAAATCAAAGAAACATTGTGTTTTCATGTGGTTTTTGTAGATTTTTGAAATTGTCATTTTCCAGACAAAATCAATCCAGGAATCCCCGAAGCTTCAGAACCGTGGAAACCCCAAGAATCCAAATGAAACGCACAAAGTTTGGCGACCGCTGACGTCGCAAATCCTGCGTTTTCATTGGGATGTTGAGGATGTTGGTGATTTCTCAGGCTCTGAAGCTTCGGAGGCTCTTGGATTATGTTTGGAGGGTGACAATTACCGAAAGAGATGTCCTTGGTTTCCACCCCAGAAATCCCAAAACTCCAAATGAAAACACAGGGTTTGGGGGCCCCTGGCGTCGCAAACCATGTGATTACAAAGGGACCGCTGCTCCTTCACCTTCCATCTGAAGCTTCCGAGTCCCTGGACTGTGTCGCAAAGATGAAAATCCCAAAGCACCCGAAAAAAACAATCCAAATGAAAACATAATGATTCCTTGATTTCATCCCAGACATCCAAGAAAATCAAAATGAAAACACCGGGTCTGGCAGCCCCTGACGTCGCGAACCTTGTGATTCCACAGGGATCGTTGCTCCCTCACCCTCCATCCCTTCCCCCTCTCCCTCCCGAGTGCGCATGTTGGTGGGTAGGACTTTCAGGCCGAGTTCCTCCTGTGCGGAGGACGGCGTTCTTTCGCAGCCCACAGTACCCTCTGGCAGATCGCGCGCCACGCCACTTTCGGAGTTGACAATATATATAATATATATATATATATATATATATATATATATATATATATATATATATACACACCACACAGATGACATATGGTGTATATATATATATATATATATATTATATTATATATATATATATATATATATATATATATATAAATGCAAATCGACAACACTTGAATCACGAGTTCAAAAAGAATTAAAATATTTTTCATCTCAGGTATGCACATCCCCCTCCAGAAAAGTATTACCTCGTGGGTTAATATTTTTCCATGTCTTCACGAACGCAAAAATATTAATTCGCGAATTAATTTGTCTGATTCCCAAGAGACAAGAACAATTATTATTTTGCGAGTTATTCTTTTGTTGTCCAACGACACACAGAGTATTGATTCGTTAGTGGAAAGAAGACTAGTCTATACAATTTCGTGAGAGCAAGTAGTAGTTCTAGTGAAGATAGTGTAGATTTTAGTGGTAGCAGTAGTCGTAGTATTGGGAGTAGTCTTGATAGTAGGAGTATGAATTCTTAGCAGGAGTACGAAAAGAAGTAGTAGTGGCAGTAGTAGAAGAAGAAGTTGTACATAATGACGGTGAACATTTTTATATGTTCCTCTTTTGTAACGTAAACGTACGTGTAAGAATTTTGTAGAAACATATGAGAAAACATATCATACGTACCTTTTTCCAAATCTGCGTATGCGTTTTGGATGTTTGATTTTGTTTCTGCTTGCGTTAATTTAATTCTTTTGATAATGCGTGTACGTCGTCTCGAGTCGAAACCTTTTGTTTTTGCCATTTACATGAATCCGATCGATTCAGGAATTCGATCGATTAAATTATCGTAACGGTGTTTTATAATCGAAGCAAACCTTATTTTGTCGTTCGATAGTGTTTGCCGAATGTCGTAAAATTGTCGGGAATTTCACCAATCCCCGATGCCCATATTGCACGGATAACACCTTCTTTGCAAATCAGGATATATTTATTAAATATTTGACAAATTCCGGTTGATTCGAATTTGATTTCTTAATTGTTTTGGAACCCATATTTTCTGTTAATATCTCATCCCAAAACGTTTCGAACTCTACATTGTTCGCCATTCATATTGAAGACAGAACAAATGCGTTCAAAATACGTTTTAATTTTTGATGTGTTAACCGTACATTTCTATTTTTCATTTTTTTTTTCATTTCTGCGTTGAGATTTGTGCGCACATGTTGCAAACAATGATATAAATATAAAGTTGTTTTTTGTTTCAGTATTATCAAAATATCCGCAATCTAAATATGTATTTCGTAGTTTCATGCTCCGGTGTTCGGACCGGCCCTCCGGGTGGCAGTCCGACGGGTCCTGGGACCGGCCCTGCGGGTGGCAGTTCCAGTGGGGCACCTGGAACCGGCCCTTTGGGTGGCAGTTCCGGGCCGGGCGCGGGTCTTGTTCCCCCGGGTCAGGGCGTGGGTTCCGTCCCCCCTGCAGCTCCTGCGACCGGCGCTTCTTTGGAGCAAGTCGATCCTGTCGAATCCGTCCATGAGCCGACGCCTCCTGGACGTTCCGCGTCGGAGGGCGAGAAGTTGGACTTCATCATTCAGAACATGGCCACGAAGTCTGTTGACCAATACACAGATCTCCATGATGAAATCAACGAAAGCTTTGATTCAGCAGTCTGAGACGAAGTTTAGGAAGGAGACTCAGGAGCTGACCGACCCGATGAAAGCGGACATTAAGACCATTCAGTCCCAGATGGCCTCGTTGTTTTCCGGTTCGGGGGGCGTACCGGGCAGGAGCTCGAAGCAGCAGATTGCGCTCATGAATTCGATGGACGTTGCCAATGTGCAGCTCGCCTTTATCGGCTTTCAGACGGAGTCCCTCGAGGATCGTGTCCGGGATATTCAGTGCATTGTCAACCAGATCGGGGGCACGAAGCCCGTTTATATAGGTCATTTTTATAAAGGTCCTCGAAACGCACGTGTCCTCTCTTCTGCTTCTTATGTGCAGTTCGGGTCTGAGCAGGATGCTCGATCTTTTTTGTCTTCCGCTGGAGGCACAGGCAAGGCGTTTCCAGCGTCCGGCGTTGATGTCGTTTTGAAGCCAGCGAAAACCAGAGCGAACGTCATGCGCGATGGCGCCTTGAAAGCTGCTTCGAATAAGTTGAAGGTAGCGGCGCCCGGCAAAAACGTAAAGATCGACTATAAGGAGCGTGTTGTGCTTGTAGACTGCATTGTTGTTTTCCAGCAGGACGCCGGAGACTTAGCCGGCCAATTTGTAGCGCCCTATCATCGTCTCACCATCTAGGGCGCACGGGGTCGCATGCAGAAAGCAGAGTGTATTGATGTGTCTCCTGCTTTTGCTCCTCCCTCTCGTTCTCCTCCTTCCCATCGTGATTGTGCTGCCCCTCACTTTGTGAGCAGCGTGCGGCCCCCTCGTTCCCACAAGAGGTCGTCGATCGACCCAAGCCTGGTTATCTCGAGCCTCCGGATCTGCACGTCCAGGGAGCTCATTGCCGACAGATTTTTCGACAAGTCTTAGGCCAGAGTTCCCTAACAGTCCTACTTCCTTGTGTTTGCCTCGTCTCCCTCGTCCTCGTCCGTCCTTCTCCCAGCGCACTTTGCATGAATTTTTTGATCATTCAGAGCCAAGTTTATCGAATTCACCTCAGGCAGGCGGTCGGCGCGAATCCCGGCCAGTGCCTGCCTTTGATTTTTCCGACCTCACCATTTTTTACTGTAATACGCAAGGCTTTCTTGCAAAGCAAGCAGAACTTACTGCTCGTCTCATTCTCTTCCCCTCCCCTCCTTGTTTAGTTTGTCTTACGGAGACCCATTTGGACAACAGCGTTCGCCATCCATCCCTCGTGGGATACTCTTTGATCGCACGTCGCGACCGGAACGCTCACGGCGGGGGCGTCGCAGTCTTCGCTGCCGAGGCTTTCTCTGACGTTGTGGTAGTCGCTAAAGTATCAGAGATAGCCGAAAATGTGTGGCTCACAGTGCATTGTCACGCAGGCCCTGTCCTTCTAGGATGTTGGTACCGTCCACCACATTACAGCGAAAGCCTTTCATTTGAAAGCTTGGGAGGCGAGTGGCATGAGCTAGAGCAGCAGCATATATGTAGTTTGATCGTAGGAGATATGAATGTGCACCAGCTTGGATGGCTACGCCATTCGTCGCACACTTCGTTAGCTGGCACTGCGCTCCGAGATTGGGCCGCGGAGCGCGGACTCTTCCAGTGCGTGCGTCGGCCGACTCGCGGCCCCCACCTTCTCGATCTTGTCTTATGCGATTGCCCAGAGCTGTTAACAGTGGAGGTTTTAAGTCAGCTATCAGATCACTGTCCCATCTCGCTTCGTGTCTCTCTTCCGCCTTTATCCTTTGAAGTTTCCAGGCGCACTTATTGGCACTACTCGCGCGCTCAATGGAACGATCTTCATCGTTTTCTAGCTTCTCAAGACTGGCGGTGGATAGATTCCACGACGCCCAGTGCAGCAGCGAACCGTATTAGCGACGTGATTTTGCGAGGCATGGCAGCTTTCATTCCTAGCAGCGCTGGTCATTTTCAGAGTTCTCACCCCTGGCTGGATTCGCAGTGTCTCGATCTTGTACGCCGGAAGTGCGAGGCTGCCGGCACTGAGGCCTTTCTGGCAGCAAGCGTCGCATGCAGCCAGGGCCTTCTTCGAGCTTATTCGGGTTATGTGACCCGCGTGCGCGCAAAATTGCGCTCCCTGCGCAGAGGTAGTAAGCAATGGTGGCGTTTATCTGATCAGCTGATGCACCGCACGTCGAAGCCTAGCAGTTCAGCACTAAAGCGTTCGAATGGCTCCTGGGCTCTCTCTCGGGACGCGAAGGCCGAAGTCTTTGCGGATTGCTTTGTTGCCAAGTGGAGCTTGCCCACAGAGGTTCAAAACGAATTCAGCGATTTGTCCATTCCTCTTCTTGCTCCCCCCTTTCCCTCCTTCCTTCCTCTGCGTACTCACGCCGCCAGGCGTTGTCTCCAGCAGCTGAAGGAAGATAGCGGCACCGGTCCGGATTTGATCCCGGCCATTGTTTTGAAGCGATGT